GATTTTTTTCTCCAAAGTACCTAGACTAACACACTAACTTTGCACATGCCATGATGTATTTGACAGCTTGATCATTATTCTTTAGGTATTCATTGTATTACATAGTGTGTATATGCCAAAGTTTATTTATCTTTTCCTCACGGATGAGCTATTGTGAATAGTGCTCTGATAAACATGGGCATGCATATATCTTCTCATGTTTTCCTTCTGCTATCTTTAGGGTATATACTGAGTAGAGAGATTGCTGCATCACATTGTGCTTCTATTCCTACTTATTTGAGAAAGCGCCATAGTTTTCCACAGTGGTCGTCTAGATTTACAGTCTCATTGGCTATATGAGAGGGCTCCAATCTCTTCACACCCTCTCCAGCATTTATTATTTTCTGTTTCATTGAACTTGGCTTGCAGTACTAGTAAAAGGTCGTATGCCATCATTGTTTTGATTTACATTCTCAAATGGCTATTCATTGGGAATATTTCCTTATATAATTGTTGCCTGTCCAGATGTTATTTTCGATGAGTTGTCTATTTGTGTCTTTTGCCCTTTTAAATTTGAATTGTCTTTTATTTGTTGTGGTGTTACAGTGTTCTGTAATAGATTTTAAGAATAGCCATTTATCCCGTACATCATTGCCAAAACTTTTTCCTCGTCTTTGGTCTCGTTTTCCCTTTTCTGATGAAGCCTTTTCATGCAGACAGATGTATTTGTTAGGAGGTTGTATTTTGGTTTCTCCTATATGAGTGGGAGACTGCCAGACTCATCACTGTGCCACAAGCGGTGCACTGTGTCAAAGCTTTTCATTAAGTGTATGTTTGATAGTTTGTTTATGCCTTGTAGTAGGGTGTTTTAAGTTTGTCTTATCTTTACATTGATGATCTTTATAGTTCTAGGGTTTACATTTAGTTATTTAATGTATCTTGGGTTCTTTTTTGTATATGGTGTAACGTATGCGTCCTCTTTCATTTTCCTGAAAACGGAGATCATTTCTGGGTTGGTGAACTCACAACTTCACCCTCTTAATTAACAGCTCAGGGTGTTAACTCTTTGTACCAACCCAAGATGCCAAATAAATTTAGTGGCTGTCGAAAGGTCAGTTAGCAAGAGATTCACAATCTGAACCTGATCCTGGGACTTGGAATCTCCCAGTTCCGCGGAATCGAATTCTGGGCATATTGGGTCTGGGAAGGTGCTTTCTGCTTGCCTGGAGGCTTTGGTAGCAGGTTTGGCCCCTTTCTCTATTTGGATTTTCCACAGGTTCCTATTTCTGTATGTTTTGTTTTCTGCTTTGAGTTATAGGGGCAACTTCTAATTATGGGGTGAGCCACAGGCTGGCTCTCTAAAGCATTTATCGGGGGAAGCAGAAAAACAGGCAGGTTAGGACAGTCATTCACAGCCTTCACAGCTGAGGTACTGTACCCCAGTCCAAGAGAATCTGAAATTTCGGTGTGGGGTGCTGCCTGCATCTCAGGGGTTTCAAAGATTCCCAGGAACTTCCTCTTTCCACCAAAATTAGAGGACTCCTGGGGTGGGAGCCCCTGCTGGACATTTGGTTTATTGGCTCTTCACTGGTGCAGCATGCCCAGTAGTGGCCATTGTGATCTCTCGTGATGGATGGTTCCCAAGTAGTGGCCAAGTGAATATATGCCTGAGGTTGGGGTGTTGCTCCTTCCTCCTATTTGCTGCTTTGCTTCTCTGTGTGCCACATCTGTACTCAGAAAGCCCTGGGGAGGTGTGGCAGTCTCCAGGGCTAACAGTGTGGTTTCACAGCCAGTGTGCATAGAGACAGTCAGGGCTCATAGTAACAGACAGAGAGCAGGTTTTCATAGACTGCGTTAGGCCAAGAGGTAAATATAGACACTTGGGAAAACAGTGTAACTCAGTGTTCAAAGAACTTTCTGGTAATTGTTCTCCTCACTTACAGTATAAAAAATAGGGGTGCTGCATTAGTCCATGTTTGGGTCTCATTTTTTGGCCCGATTTTATTTCACTTAACATGTTAACCAAGTCAGTTCTCACCTTCATTTGGCCATCTTTTCCCAGGTGACTCGAATCATGTACCTACCCCTGAATGCTGCTCTTGTGGACCCTGAAACAGGAGAAGTTCAGACTGTAGTCTGGGACCCTCACAGGGCCTTGTAAAGGGAAGGTATATGCATTTGTCCATGACCTACTCTTGCCTCTCAGAACTGTCCCTGTCTTTAGTATGTGAAGAAGCACTGAGAGCTTGCTACAGAAGTAAGACGGGCGTGGTGCAGGCAGGACACCTGTATGTGTGTTTAGATCAGTCACCAGGTAGTTAGAATGTTGTTGGCTGTGAGTTGCTGTCAAGTCGACTAACTGATGTTGACCTTATGGAGAACAGCCAGACCGTTTGCCTGCTTCAGAGCCATCTTCTGAATTTGGATACATTTGAGTTCATTGTGTGGCTGTTGTGTCAGTCTTGATAGATATAACCTTATGATTCTTTTATTTATATGGTGGATTGCATGGATTGATTTTCTAATATTAAGCCATCCTTGCATACCTGGCATGAATACCGATTGCCCACCCACTTGAGTTGTTTTTGCTAACTCTGAATATCTAATCAGGGCCAGAATCTTTTAAAATGAATCCCCTGAGTGTGAGCTGACAAGCAGGCTATGTCTCTTTAAACCCAGAGCCATGGATGCTTGATGCTCCCATCCTCCCATGCCAAGTTTTCACAGTGCAGGTCCACCTAATCTTTGCCCTCTCCAGGATAAGCTTGTCCTCCAAGTATGTTGAACAGGGTTGCCATGTGGGACCTGATGTAGTCCCAAGACCCAGACAGGCCTTGAGAATAAGCCTCCAGCTGATTGAAATAATTTCTATCTGATGAGAATCTTGTGTGTGGACTGTGTCTCTCTCAACCTTAGGGTTTGGGGAAGCTAATGAGTTTTTCTTCTCAAGTTCAGTTAGGTTTACAGCACTCCAGTCCTAGCACAGCACTGCCATCCCCAAGTATGTTGTGGGAGAGGTGCCATTCTCCTCTGTGTTAGTCTCAGTGCCAGTGCTGAAGAGTATGTGGGAAGGATGCAACAACTCACCTATGAAATTCTCATTAAGATCCAGATACAGTTTATGCTAATGTTTCCTGTTCAGATACAAGACTACAGTGCTTTTGCTTAACCTCATCAACTCTATGTTTATACCTCTTTTCAACTACTGCAAAAACTTGATTCTCACTGGCACCAACATGATTATGCATCATCCCGCAATTCACATAAAAATCTCAGAGTAATGCAACCTACTTCACCACCCAAATTAAGTTACTAAAAGTTGTGTAGGCTTCCTTTGTAGTTCTTTTTCTCCTTAGGAAATAACCCCGTTCATCGTGCAGTCGAATTCCTGCATCTAGCCCCCTGAAACAATTTCAAGTGCAGTTTTTCACTCCGTTCAATTAGATTTAGTTACTTCAACTTTTATGACAAGCATTTGACTATAATTCAAACAATTATCTGCATAACAAAGGATATTTATAGAAATCTAGTTTCCATCCCTTTTCCTTTGTTTTCTTCCTTCTCTATCAGTGGTTGTTTTCAGTGCACCCTCACGTGTAGAGAGTGAAAGTGCTCCACCGCATTTGCCAGGCTGCGGCCTTTCAGAAGTAGATTGGCATGTGTGCCTGCTTTCTGAGCTGCCGCTGGCTGGGTATCTTCCGCGTTTCAGTGACTAGTGGAGCACTGAATTGTTTGCACCACCTAAGCACCTTCTTTATAGGTCGCCATTTCAAAGAGGATAGTACAATTTCCCTTTTCATGTTTATATGTAAGTTATATAAGTATGCAACACAAGGATCCATCACTTTGAAAGAACATAACAGAGACTGGGTTTGGGTTCAATTCATAAGGGGTCAGGGGATCAATGTTTTTACTTTATGAATAGGCCTAAGCCAATAGTAAGTTGATTTGGCTAATTGAAATGATTATGATAACCCTTAGCGATCCATGAGTCAGGGGTCCACTCAACAGTGGTTTTTTTTTTAAGTATTATTTTACTCCCCAAAGAGTGGCACTCTTAGGGACCCCAGAGGCAATTCGACCCTGTTGCTCTGCACCAGATGGACTCCTGCGCAGTACGGGGTGGGTGAGTGATACACGTGTACACGCTTTCTGCTCTTCTCCATCTTGCGTTCTCTATAATATAAATATAGAGTCTGCTTTTATCATCAATCCATAACAGTGTGTAGACATCTTTCTTGTTCCTTTTTCAACTGCATAACACGCCGTTGTGCGGCTGTATGGCCGTTTATCACAGAAGACTGTGCTGTTTAAGGACTCTGCTTGCTTCTCCTTCTGCTGTTCCCTGGCACTTGCATCTTGCTGGGAGTTGGAATAGGCTTGACGGCAGAGAGTATGGCTCGGCTTTTTCTTTTCTCTTTTTTAGTGATTGTTAAAAAAAAGAGTGGGATGAGGGGACAACTGTGATCAGTTCAATTTTCTCTTTTCCTGGGTGGAGTGATAAAGCATCTCTCTTTTAATAATCAGCTGGGTGGGACTTCTTTTTCCATGAGTCAATTCCTCCATGGTTTCTGTCAATTACACTCCTTTTTAGCATACAGTGGGAATTCTTCTAGGAAGTTTTGACAATATATTATTTTTCAGTCATATTTTGTATTTTTATAACTCCCAAACTCACTGCCATTAGGTTGACTCATAGCGACCCTATAGTACAGGGTAGAACTGCCCTGGTGGGTTTCCAAAACTCTTTATAGGAGCAAAAAACCCCATCTTTCTCCCTTGGAGTGGCCAGTGGCTTTGAACTACTGACCTCACTTACAGTTAGCAACCCAACCCATAGTCCTTTGGACACCAGGCTTCCTTTTTATGTCTATGGTGATGTCTGTTTTGTATCCTTCATGTTTATCAGAATGTAGGAGTGTTATTAGGAATTGTTTTTCAGGTGCTACTTCAGAGTAAACAATATTTTAAAACAAGATTTTTCTCTCCCCCTAACAAGTAATGGATTATTTCTGTTGCAGGGAGAAGGACTTGGAAGCCAAGTTCATTATTCAAATGGAGAAAAGCAAAACAACAATCACAAATTTAAAGGCAAGTAATAACCTGGTCTTACTGTAGTTCTATGACGTCTCTTGTGTGATTTATTGTTACAATGACTTATGAGTAAATAAGCCATCTCTGCCTGTTTCATTTCAGTTCGTAAACTCAACTTTTTGACGTGGGCCTAGTCACGGAGTGGGAGTGTAGATCCATTGTCTCTCCCATTCTTACTTTCCTTTTGTTTAGAAGCTGCACACAACCTCCAGCACTGGTGGGCGAGCTTTGAGTTTAGTCAAAGCCCCGCCATCCTTATTTTCTGACCAAGTCATGGAGTCATAGCCTAGATATTGACTGTATTCTGTGAATGATTGTGATGCTTTGGCATCACATTTATTTTTGTTTTTTAATTTAAATCATCATGTTTCATACATTTTGCAAAAGGATCTATTATTCCCAGCGTAGTGAATGAACAAAGAAATACTAAATTTTCTTATACGACAAGTGCTTTCTTCTGCAGTTAAACTGTAGCACATGTGTTAATGACGTTGAATAATTTTCAGTTAGGTAGGAAACCAAATGTATTATAAAAAACAATAAGGAAGGAGTTCAGGCCCATTCATCTTTGATATTTGTCATGATATGCTTGGGCTCTGACACCTGCTGCTTTTTTGCACTGCTGCTTTTTTGCAAAGTACAGTACTGATCCAGCTCCTGCAGATTTCCGAGGAGTGGCTTTCTGTTAATTCATGACTCTAGAGGCTGCACCCTGACGTTTCATGTCAGGAGTGGGCCAGTGCTCTGTTTGTCCAGAGTCCTCCCCTCCCCTCACTCCTTTACACCCTTCCAGCCCTCCCTGGCCTGTACTGAGCTTCCCTCCTTTCACCTTTGCTATCTTCTCAGGCTTCTACTTGTCCTGACTTGTCCATTTACTGCTGTTCATTATTTTCCCGTTACTTCATGCATCTTTGTATAGCACCAGTGCTTTGATCACAGTTTAATTGTTAAAACATTTCATTGTTCCACTATTCATCATGAGCACACATATTCCATATTTTTGGCAACAGTAAAATATCTAGTCTATAGCTAGATTGTACACATTGATGACATATGTCTGGTGGTAATGAATGCCGAGAAAGTACACTGGCAGTATTAGGTACGGTTATCTGTCAACTTAACGGGGTCACAATTTTCAGTGGTTTAGCAGTTAAGTAATGTTGTGATTTGACAGTGATGTAATGATATAGCCATCCTTCATTTGTGATTTAATGTATTCATCCTACATTTTCATATAGTGGCAGTTTTTCACAAAGTCTTGGTTTTGAAACCCAGCCAGGTCCGAGTGAAGGAAATCCTGGCTTTGGATTAGCCTCCTTTCTGTGTATTTTGATGTCTATTTCCCTTGATCACTCTTTGCTTTTTGAGTTTTGCCTGTCCTTCTCTCATTTGAATTACTAGAACAAATGCCCAGACTTTGAACATTTCAATGATATGTGGGGACTTACCACCGCTTGCATTGTTTCACAAAATAAATCTCGCTAAGTACTAAAAAAAAAAAAAAAAAGTAATGATTTTGACAAATGTTCTTTATAAAACACGAATCGTGTTGGAAAAGACAGTGGTCACTGACTTTATTCATCATGTGCCAAATGAACTGAGGATTTGGGGATTATGAAGCTTTTAAAATATGATTTGGGGTTCAACTTAAGTATGTAGCAAGGAAGGAAAGATACATGAATGTATCTTCAGTAAACTCACAGTACGGGATGTGTCCCGGTAGAAGTGAGAGGACTCGTGGCTAACATTCCCAAGGGGAGCTTCACCCAAGAGACAGCCTCCGACCTGACCTTTCCAGTGGGGCAGTGAGTTCCACAGCTCCAGGGACCACCAGTCATACCATTCTCTATGAGACTAATACTTCCTGAAGGTGTGAAGAGCCAATTGTAGTAATCCAGGTGGAAGGAAGTCAAAAACACTGAAACTAGAAGAAATAGAATGTGGTTGAAGTACTGGTTTATCCAAAATGATCTTGACCAAAAGGTCTGAAAAAGTAGCCGTGGGTCACATCACAGCCTGTATCACTGGGTTTTGCTTCTCTAAGTTTAGTTTCATTTTTATTTTTAGGAAGTTTATATGGAGGGCTTAAATGAGTTTTAATTGAAGTATAAATATGAATAGGCTGTCATTATATATTTTTTATGAAGAGCCATTTCCCCCTCCTGAATGGTTTACTTGTAAATTGACAGTTTTGTCTCCATTTTTATTATTATACTCTTATGACCATTGTAATCATCTCTTTCTAGATACCGGAAGGCGGGACTGGGGATTCAGGAAGAGAACGGACCAAAACCTTCACCTATGACTTCTCCTTTTACTCTGCTGATTCAAAAAGTGAGGATTATATTTCACAAGAAATGGTAGGATATTTTCAAAATATTTATTTTGAACTTATTTTTATGTAGAGGGAAACCTGTCTGCCCTTAAACTCTGAGTTATCTTGCTAATTTTTTCCTAAAGTTATTGCTTGTTAATTAGTGCATTGGTTATTACTCTGGGTGATGTATCTTAAACTTTCGAAGAACTCAGACACCCCAGAGTTGTTTGTTTATTTTTTTTAACTTCTGAGCATGACGAGAGGTTGAGCATAATTTCCATTTGGTTTAAAATTTGAGCATGGCTACTGTTTTGAATAAGGAAGACTGAAGAAGAATGGATACATTTGCGTTATGGTGTTGGCCAAGACTGAAGAAGAATGGATACATTTGCGTTATGGTGTTGGCCAAGA